TAATTATAATCATAAATTATAATTATAAGTATAATTATAATTATTATAATTATAATTAATAATAATTATAATTATATTAACATTAATTATAATATTATAATATAATAATAGTAATATAAATACAATTAATATTATAATAATGATATAATTATATTCATATTATTATTACAATAATATAATAATAATATGATTATTATTATTATAATTAGTATTATATTATTATAATATTATATTATAATTATAATTATAATCATAATTATAATTATGATTGTAATTATAATTATAATTATTATAATTATAATTATAAATATTTATAGATATAATTATAATAAATACAATTGATTATACTTATAATTATAAGAATTATAATTGTAATTATAATTACATATAATTATAATATAATATTATATTAACATTAATCATATTATTATTATATTGTAATAATAATAATAATAATAATAATAATAATAATAATAATAATAATAATAATAATAATAATAATAATAATAATAATAATAATAATAATAATAATAATAATAATAATAATAATAATAATAATAATAATAATAATAATAATAATAATAATAATAATAATAATAATAATAATAATAATGATAATGATGATGATGATGATGATGATGATGATGATGATGATGTTGATGATGATGATGATAATAATAATAATAATAATAGTCTTCTTAATAATTACATTTATATTACTATTATTATATTGAAATATTGTAACTATTATTAATATCTTATTTTTGTTATCATATTATTATTAATATTATTAATAATAATTATATAATAATAATCATAATTGTAATAACAATAATAATAATAATTAATATAATAATAAAAGTGATAAATCATGTTTGAACTTTTCTGATCTGATCTGAATGTTTCTGATCTGATCTGAATGTTTCTGATCTGGTCTGATCTGATCTGAATCTTTCTGATCTGATCTGAATCTTTCTGATCTGATCTGATCTGATCTGAATCTTTCTGATCTGATCTGATCTGATCTGAATTTTTCTGATCTGATCTGATCTGATCTGAATTTTTCTGATCTGATCTGATCTGATCTGAATAAAATAAGAATAAGCAATAAGTAATAAGAATAAGACGAACAGAACAGCACCTGAATCTAAAAAATTAAGAGGTTGGATCTCAAAAACTTATCTGAAGCTAGCAAATATGTAATTGAAGAACGTCTTTGATTTTCACCAAACCTAAACAGTTAGTTTTAAACATCTTCTCTAGAACAGGAAAGAAGTTGGGGAGAAGAAGAAAACAGATAGATCGATAGGTTAAAATTGAAAATAATGGACACAAAGGAAAATAAAGAAGAACAGGAAGACAAGAAGAATAAGAGAAAAACAAATGCTACGTAGTAGATGTCTAGATCTGAGAAAGAAGTGGAAAGAAATTCACGAAGAAAAAGAAAAATAAGAAAAGAAGAAGATCTACTTGATGAAAATGGGATTCTGGGAATGGGATTGGACCAAATTTAAAAGAAATTTAAAACAAAACTATTAAATGGGTTTCACATGGCAGCACGTAAGTAAACAACCGGTAAACTACCGGCTATAGGACTGAATTGACTGTTCTCAAATACTTTTTTGATATATTATAAGGACATATTTGACAGATTTCCCATTAAATTATTTTGTTGTTAAGAGAGTGAACAGAAGAAAGTAACAAACCATTGGAGACGGAATATCATTTTCATAGTCTATGAGTCCAAATCAGCCTCATGGGCTATTCATATGGTTGACGTGTCCATATTTTTAAGGGTGCAATTCACGTCTCTATTGAAGATGCTCTTATGTCATCGCCAACTCGCTCTAATGGCACGGTCACTTCATTTAGTTATGTTTGTTTTAATTTTTTTTTTTTGTAAATTATTATTTTCAAACAATGTTTTATATACTCCCTTCCTATTTAAAACATCACAACATTAGGTCCTGGTACAAAATTTAAGAGAGAAATAGTAGGGATAATGAATGGGGTAGAAAAAGTAGGAGAGAATGTGAAAAATAGGAAAAAAGACATAATCAAGAAGTAGAATAAGAAAAGATAATTGAGTATTTTTAAAAGAAAAGCTTACCAAAAAGGTAAAATGTAAAATTTTTAAATACATCCCAAATAGGAGAGTGTAGCAAACTTTTAAATACAGAGGGAGTAAAACAATTAGATATTTAGATGGAAAGAACAATTTCAATGTTTTCTCCTAAAATCATTTCCAAAAGATTATCACTGCAATTGGGATATTTTTCGTAGAAATATCTAAAAAATGCCGAATGGCAACGGTTGTGGATTTTTGTGGATTTGTCTTGCAAATTATCTTAAATAAGACTAAAAAAAGTCTATATATTCCAGAATATGATTATCATGTTTTTACTCTCAAAATAGGACTAATTATTATCATATTTTGTCTGTATAAGACTTTAAACATGATAATATTTTCCAAACTTGGAAGTAAGTACTCCTATTTTGACAGTCCTATTTTCAGAATAAAATACGAGTTCCTATTTTCATATTAGTTTCTATTTTGGAAATAAAAATACGCAGTCCTATTTTAGAATTTTCAAACTTTTTGACTCCTATTTCAGAAAATGTTCCCTTTTTTCATCAACATTTTAGTAAAACAATGGGTGGTAGCAAACTAGCAACAACGCTTGTAGTTTTCAAATGATGTTCTTCAATAATAATTGGCAGGTTATAGGCATTTAAAAAAAAATAAAAATAGAATGGGGAAACTGTCAGTTTAGTCCTTTGACTGCCACAAAAACGTCAATTAAGTGCTCATACTTTTAAAAAATCAATCAAATTCTTGAAATTTGAAAACATGCTCAATTGAGTCAACTAATTGGTTATCTACCATATTAGCACGTCACCCGCTTATGTGACGCACACACGGTAGCCCAGTCAGTAGTGACTTTGTTGATGCGACGCACACATGGAGGCCCTGTCAGTCATTTAGCGATGATGTGGCGCGCGCGTGGACTAAATAAGGACCCCAAAACAACATACCTAGAAATTAAATTAAACAAATGTAGTCATTAAGCCAAGGAGTGATGATAGTTTTTCTTATCCTCCTAACTTTAGTGTAAGCCATTTGACTAATGATCAATTAATTTAAATTGGTGATTTACCTTCGACAAAACGGTAAGGGGGTGTTTGGTTCTTTACGTATTAAAACTTTACATGCAAAATGATTGCATGTAAAGTGTAGGGCTGTAATCATTTTACATGTAAGATAAAAATACGTTGTTTGGTGAGGTATGTAATCTATTTTTAAAATAGATGCAAAATAAATGTAATGTTGCTCTAAAAACAAACCCACACGTAAAAGTGGAAGCAACGCCACTCGATCCGCTAACTTTGCCTTCTATGCTATTCCCTTGAAAGGCAGATTGATTTGATATAAAAACAAATAGGTTAGCTAACAGCAATTCTTTTTAGCTATTCAAATGTATAATGTAAATAAAGTAATAAACTTTTTGAAAATGAGTACGTAGGCTATTATCAATTCGCAAACATAACTGATAGCTATTACGGAGTATTATTATTAACGCCAAAGGTTCTGCACTTCTGTTTTTGGTATGTGTAGAACCTAGCAGAAAAACAAATTCCGCATAGCAATTTACTCGGTATTAAATAGTCATACTCGGTATTAATTAATCGATGTAAACTAGTTTACTACCCTCCTCCCACGTAAACTATTTTACATGGTACAGTGTAAAATGTTTTAAAAAAAGTGTCCTACAGTTTACATCAAATAATTAAAACAAACGGTGTAAAATGTTTACATCCCCACACTTTACACGCAAAGTGTTTACTTTACATCATACCAAACGGGCCCTAAAGTTTTTCGAAACGACGAAAAGGCCGTTAAATGGTCCTATATTTTGGCTTATCAACTTTAACGGGGAACATTTTCACCAAAAACATAACAAATATTTTATGAGAAATTGCCCAATACAGGAGTAAGCACAAACATAATTGCACAAATAGGAGTGAAACTTAAAACTTCCTTCAATAGGAGTAAACATTAATTTTGTACCATGAATACCCCTAATCTAGTTAATTCTAAAACATGACTTATTTGATCCTAAAAAAATATAAAAAAAATTCTAAAATATTTGAAAAAATATATTGAAATAATAAAAATTAAAATATATATATATTTTTTAAAATAAAAAACTTTAAAAATAAATAAAAAAAAATAAATAAACCACATTAAAAAATATAAAAAATTATGCAGGCCTTTTCCGCAACCTCGGCCATCACCCAACAATGCCACCTCCAATCTGCAAAAAAATGCCATTTTATAATAAAATTGTCATTTTTCTTTGAAAATGCCATAAAGATGTCAGTTTTTGCTCTTCGAAAATGCCAAATTTTCTCAAAATATGTCATCATGATGGCATTTCAAAAAGAAATTGGCATTTCTTCGGTGGTCAAAGCTGGTAGTGCTGGGAAGCTGTTGATGTGGCGGCAGACGCCTACATATTTTTTTCTTTTCATTTTTTAACATTTTTATTTTTATTTGTTAGTTTTATATTTAATACGAGTATTTTTTATTTTAATAAATTTTATTTTTATTAATTTTATTTAATATAGAATATGTTTTGTTTGATATAGTTTTGTTTTTTTTCATTTGTTTACAATTTTATTATAAATTAATGTTATTTCTTTTATGTTATACTACGTAATAATTAATGAAAGTTGTTGGAGCTTGGATAAGGGTATACTTGTCCTAACACTAAAGGTACTCTTGTTTGGAGAATTCTCTCATACTTTGTTTATGAAAAAAATATTTTTTTTATTTATTTTCGTAATTAAACAGATTCAGATAATTCACTATTACGGAGTACATGTTTTACAACTCCAGTACTCCATCCAAAAAAAACTCCAGTACTCCTTAATACGGAGTATGTTAATATACAATCATCGGTTGGATTACTAGTCAAAATATTTAGAACAGTCCTTTCGCCTAAATGGACTCGGGTGAGGCCTTTTTCGAACCCGGGTAGGGTTTTGTAGAATCACTATATAAACAAATGTTCTCTCACATTCGACCCGGCTAAGACCTACTTCCTCAGCAACATCTGAGCAAAGCCCCAGCAGGGTTTCCATTCTATATCGGTAAATCCTCGCGGCCCCTTCGTACTGCGCGCGTATTCCATTGTATTTTGGCTTGTTGTGATTTGATTTTCTGTTCTTTGTGAAGCTTCAGAAATGGCGGCAGTTCCTGGGCAGCTGGTGTGGGAGATTGTAAAGAGGAACAATTGTTTCTTGGTCAAGGAGTTCGGTAATGGCACCGCTGGCGTTGTCTTCAGCAAGGAACCAAACAATCTCTACAATCTTCACTCTTACAAGCACTCTGGTTAGCCATTAACTGTGATTTGTGTTTTACGTTCATTTAAATTTGCTGGTTGCGGTTCTGTTAATCGAAAATTAGGTTTGTTTTATGCTATTTACACAGAATATTGATGAAGCAGTTTTAGTTTTTCATAAAAAATTGCCCATGGTTTTTAGGTTTTCGCCCAGGAAATGACTTTTTCATCAACGAGTACAGCAATTGAGCATTAGACTGTCTAATTGCATAAAAATCCAGTACTTTTTTGCTTACGAATTGCAGTATGGTTGTTGGTGTTGGTATTGATTAACAGGGTTAGCAAACAAGAAAACCGTGACAATTCAAGGGGGGAAAGATCAAACTGTGCTCCTGGCCACAACCAAGACCAAGAAGCAGAACAAACCTGCTAATTTGCTAAACAAATCTGTCATGAAGAAGGAATTCCACCGCATGGCCAAGGCTGTCACCAACCAGGTATTTATTATTATATCATGTATCATATACGGGGTATGTGTGTCTGTATATATAGTAGTATTCCTGTCAGGAATTTCTGGGCAGTACCGCCGTCCGTCCACCTCGTTTTGAGGTGGTTCCTAGTTAATTTTTTTGATAAAATTTTGTGAACTTTTTCTATATGAAGTGTATATTATTTCTGCAAAATTTCAGCTAAAAATTTAGGAAGTTAGTTAAATGAATTTTTGAAGATACCTGTGCCAAAATATATACATATGAACTGCAGTAATTTTCAATAATTTATTTGACTACCTTCTCTATTGAAACTTTAGCTAAAATTTGGTGTACATGATCTACACTTCATGGGGAACATCTCACAAAACTTTAGCAAAAAATACCACTCCGAGTCAACTCAAATTCCAGTGGCCGGACGGCACTCAAATTCAAGTGGCCAGAAATGAATAAGAACACCAATATATATTCATATATGTATATACATATATACTCCGTATATATATATATATATATATATATATATATATATATATATACTGGTTCAAATAAGAACACACCTTAATGTAAGAAGTCAGAGCATATCACAGTTGTTCATATGCATCTCATGTAAAAACATATACTCGTATGATAAAGGTCAATTTTTATTAGACTTTTGGCCATTTTTTGGGAAACTTCCACCATGATTGATGATCGTGCTTTTATTTTAGGAATGGAATCATTTCATTGTTTCTCAAATATTGTTTACTATTTTAAACGTGATCCATGCATTCATTTATAATAATTTTTTAATCCATTAAATGAAATATTGGTCTTTTGTAAGAATCATGGTTGTGTGCGTTAAATATGAGTTCTCTTGCAGTAGCAAGAAATGTTTGGAGTAATTTATTTCATACATATAAGTTAGAAATGTGGTAGCAATTTGGTACTTACAAATAACTTTAAATGAAACACTAACTTAAGTGTACCATCATATACAAATACACACACAGAGACACAAGTCTAAATGTAGAGCACAAAGGTGCATTAGATTACAAAACAATGTGTACAATTTTTTTTGAATGTAATGATGTGCACGGTTTTCAAAAAACTGATTATCTTTTTAATGCTCAAGAGTGTAATTTCATCAGCAAGCTATCCACTTTTTCCAGTTTAAAGTTTGGGGTATTTAAATTACTTTCTCCTATAAGGGGAAAATAATATAAATATCCCAAACTTTGAAGGAGTGTGAGATAAGTACTTCAAACTTTCACATGTAATATATATACCGCAAACTTTATATAAAAAGTTATGGTAGTACTATGAACAATATGAGTCAGTGTCTATTGGCTAAATAAAAGTTATGTGGCTAAATAAAAGTGGTTTGTTGCAAAATAATGTGAAAGATATCTAATTTTATCCACTTGCCTTAAAAGGCTAACATATCAGTTCCCAGGTTTTGTTGTAAATTTGTCAATTAATTGCCCCAAGTTTCCTAGTTTTCTTCTGCTGCATTGTTACTTATTTTGATGAACTGTGGTGTATATATATACATATATATATGATTTTATCATTATTTGGGTAGAAGGCATCATGTACAAGCGATGTAGCATGGAAACTCTCGGAGAAGAGTACGTTTCCGGTTCGGAAACACTCCAAACAAGTCTTTTTTGAGTAGAAGTTGATGTTTCCCGTGTCCCGTTTCCTCATGATTTTCGCGTTTCCGTGCAACATAGTGTACAAGTTGTATAGGTATCGTAAGTGAATCTGTATGCTTAAGTTACATGAGGCGCATGTCATTGCCTCGTGCCTGAAAAGTTTAATAAAAATTACCGGTAGTGGACGCCTTAAACCTTTTAAAACTGAGAAAGCCTATAACTTGATATTGTTTGCAGGTTGCTGACAACTACTACAGACCGGACTTGAAGAAAGCAGCTCTGGCAAGGTTGAGTGCCGTTAACAGAAGCCTTAAGGTTGTCAAATCCGGCCCCAAGAAGAAGAATAGGCAGGCCTGAGCACATAAGCATTTATGTCTCTTTTTTGTCTAGACAATCTTGAGTTCTGTTTAAATTGTGCCTCTTTATTATTCTATTTAACAAGCAATTTGGTGTCTCAATTCTCTTTATCTCAAACAAAAAGCGTCCTTCTAGTTTACCCTTTGCAATGTTGGTTACTTGGTTTATGCTTGAGTGACTTTTAAGCTTTTTTGTGAACTCCACCAGAAACTGTCCGTTACAAATGTGAACTAAAACAATCCCCTAGATCTCTTTTAAATACTATATTCTCTTGTACTATACATTTTTCCTGATTCTTGTGGGTATGTGGACCTCTTTTATCAGGTAAGCGTCTAGAATTTATTTTTGAGCTGAACTAGTTATCTACTTATCTTAGATTCTGTAGTCTATGTTTATCAGACTGGAATGGGACTGGTGTATTTGCTACAAAAAGTGGGCCTAGGGTTGGACTTGGGCAGGGTTGGGTCCGGGTCATTCCTTGATTATTTCATCCCCTACCCCCATCCCCCCATTCCCCAAACCCGTCGGAAACACCCAGCCCAGCCTATTTCAACCCAGGTTACCCAGCACAAACAAATAAAAATCAAAAAAGAAAAATAGGCCTGAATTGGGCTTGGTCCGGCTGGGCCGGTTCTCATTTTGGGTATCCCGGAACTGGCCCCGGTATCCTCCCTCAACAGTGATGGGCCGGGCCGGGCTGGGCTTGGTGGCCTTAATTGGGTCCAAGCCTAACCACCACTTACAGGTCTTGTTTGGAATCGTTCTTTGATTGCAATTAATGATTTTGACCATATAACAACAACATCCAAGTCTTAGTCCCAAATGATATTGGGGTCGGCTAACATGAATTAATACATGATATCACCAAAGAAAAAAAAAGAAAATAAAGATAAAAAAGATAAGTTATTATAAAAAAAGATAATATAAAAGAGATAAATATACATATAAAAGATAAAATAAAAAGGATAAAGTAATATTTATATATAATGATAAAAATATAAAGGGAAAATGGAAACTAATAATCCAACCTTTCAGCGGTCTGCTTTCAATAATCCCACCTTTTGATTATTCATGAATAATCCAACCTTTGCACCTCATCTTCATTCATTGGTCCCTGGTTGGTTAATGACCTACTAGTCCAAGTTATTTTCTTATCTTTGCAAAATATTATCTTTGTGAAAGATGAGATTTATGATATAATGATTTGCAAAGATAAGAAAATAGCTTGAAATAGCAGGTCATCAATCGGTCAGGGACCAATGAATGAAGATGAGGTGCAAAGGTTGGATTATTCATGAATAACCAAAAGGTTGGATTATTGTAAGAAGACCGCTAAAAGGTTGGATTATTAGTTTCCATTTTCCCAAATATAAAAGAAAAAGAAAAAAAAGAAGAAGAAAAAAGAGGTGAAAAGATGATACGAGATCACTTCTCCACACGAATACCCGCCCTCCATTTTGCTCTCTACAAAACCATACCCTCATCCAATCCAAGAAGAAGCATATCACATTATCACTTCTGACTCCCCTAACCCACGTCTGTTTGGGCCTTCTTTTCCCTCTCTTCCCTGCCTCTTCTCCACACATCTCAACTCGTCTGACAGGCGCATCACTCGGTCTTCTATGCACATGACCAAACCACCGTAGGCGTGACTCTCGCATCTTATCTTCAATAGGTGCTACTCCCACCCTTTGTCTGATTGTCTCATTCCTATCGCGGTCCTTTCTAGTATGCCCACACATCCAACGCGGCATGCGCATCTCTGCCACACTCATCTTTTGAATGTGACATTGTTTCACCGCCCAACACTCCGTGCCATACAGTAATGCAGGCCTAATTGATGTCCTATAAAATTTACCCTTCAGTCTAGTCGGCATACCTCGATCACATAGAAATCCCGACGCACTCGTCCACTTCATCCACCCTGTTCTGATTCTATGGGATACATCTCCATCTAACTCACCGTCCTTCTGAATTATGGAGCCCAAGTAACGGAACATATCGCTGACCGGTATCTCCTTACCATCTAAAGTAATTCCGTTATTACCACTGCTTCTACCTCCACCAAACTTGCACTCCATGTACTCTGTCTTGCTCCTACTTAGTCTGAAACTCTTGTTCTCCAATGTTTGTCGCCATACTTTCAACTTTGCTTTAACCCCTGATTGCGTCTCATCAATCAATACAATATCGTCGGCAAACATCATGCACCACAGTATATCATCTTGAATTGACTTTGTAAGTTCATCCATGACTATGGCAAATACAAAAGGGCTCAGAGCCGATCCTTGGTGCACTCCGATAGTAATAGGGAACTCCGCAGTCCTCCCTACACTAGTACGGACACTTGTAGTACAATCCTCATACATATCCATGATGATGCTGATATACTTGCGTGAAATGCCTTTTCTAGTTAAGGCCCACCAAAGAACTTCTCGAGGTACCCTATCATATGCCTTTTCTAAGTCAATGAACACTAAATGCAAATCCTTGTGAGCGTCTCTATACTTCTCCATAAGTTGCCGAAGAAGGTGAATAACCTCAGTTGTCGAGCGACCAGGCATAAAACCGAATTGATTCTCTGAAATCTTCACCGTTTTTCGAAGTCTTTGCTCAATCACTCGCTCCCAAAGTTTCATGGTATGACTCATAAGCTTAATCCCTCGATAGTTGGCACATTCTTGTACATCACCTTTATTCTTAAATAAGGGAATAAGAGTACTCTTTCTGCAACTCGTTGGCATCTTGTTGTTTCTCCAAATCTTGTTGAAGAAATTTGTTAACCACTCGATGCCTCTCTCTCCCAAACTTCTCCAAGCCTCGATCGGTATGCCATCTGGACCCACCGCTTTCTTCCGCCCCATCTTCCTCAGAGCCTCTTTAACTTCCGTTGGTTGGATCCTTCTCACAAAATCACGATTTACCATACAATCTGGTATGGTCAAATCACCGATATCTTGCACTTTGTTCCCGTTGAACAATGTATCAAAGTATGACATCCACCTCTCTTTTATCTCTCTGTCCTCCATTAATATCCTTTGATCGACATCCTTCACACACTTAACTTTTCCGATATCTTGAGTCCTACGATCACGAAGACGAGCAAGTCTATAGATATCTTGTTCTCCTTTCTTAGAGTCCAATTTTTCATACAACTCCTTGTTCACTTTCCCTTGTGCTTCCTTTACGGCTTTCTTTGCTTGTCTTCTAGCCTCCTTGTATGCTTCTATGTTCTCATCACTCCGACTTGTCCCCATCTTTTTGTAGCAATCTCTTTTGTTCCTTATGGCTTGTTTCACCTCATCATTTCACCTCATCATTCCTTATTGTTTGGTATATAAAGGCTTGGCTGTTCCGTTTTATTCCCCTCGTACCCTTGGATTTCACGCCTCTTTCATACATCCATAATCGATAATCCATTGCCTCCTTCCTAATCAATGCCTCTTTCTCTACTTCTTCCACGGTTCCACCAGCACCTGCAAATGCAGCAAATCCTACCTAGAAGTATTCTTCGGTCATCTAGAATTTCAATGGCTAGTTGATTGATTTCGGCCAAAGAAGTAGCAACGCCTGATTAACTGATTCTATATAATTCATCTTCTTCTTCATACTCAAAGCCAGCAGTGGATGCCAACTTTTTTGGTAGCACTAAAGGCAGAGTTACTTTTTGCCTATTATTATTGTTTTATAAAGTGATTAGTCTCTGTTAATTGAACTGTATTTGAGAAAGAAAAAAATGAAAACAACCCAGCATAAAATCACTCCCAAATTAATCTCTCTAAACGATGATAGTGGATAGGAACTTGGCAGAAGTTGCTCTTCCTTTTTGGTATTTTTGGTTGACATAAGTATGTTATGCTAATTGTTTTGGAAACTACCACCATGATTGATGATCGTGCTTTTATTTTAGGAATGGAATCATTTCATTTTTTCTCAAATATTGTTCAATATTTTCAATGTGATCCGTGCCTTCATGTATAATAATTTTTTAATCCATTAAATGAAAATATTGGTCTTTTGTAAGAATCATGGTCGTGTGCATTAAATATGAGTTTCTATTCGGGTCTTCTAAATAGAAAAAAAGCGGGGTCGAGGACATCTTTTGGTCCAAACCGGGGTCATTTTTCAGGGTGTCTAAAATCTAAATAGCACTGTCCTCCTCTGTCAGTTTATTCGCGTATAATACACTCAAACGTATAATTCGCGTATAATACTCCCGTTTATGAATTTTTTCAGAAAATACTAAAAAAATCACGTACTTTAAAGATCAAATGTATAATACACGTACCGTACGTATTGTTACATATTTTATTAAAGAAACACCATTAAACTGAAGCCTAATGTAGTGGTACAACTGAAGCAAAATGTCTAGTTGCTCAATACTATTTATATTGCTTAAAACTTATTATGTCTTATATGTTCATTAATTGTTTAATAGTCATAAGATTTAATAAATTAGCTTCTTAAGTCATAACTCGTTTCGATATTACTATTGGACTACTATTGTGTTACTCTTGTTATCTACTGATACAAAGACTCCAAGGAGAAAAGATTATTATGGCGGCTCACCAAATTTACGGCCACAGTAATTAAACAATTCTCTAGAAATATCTCTATATTTCTACATAAATAAGAAATATCATTTTTATTGCTTATTGTACCTATGAATTAAAATTTTATATCTGAAAAAACTATTCCGTACATTTTAAATTGTTGAAGAATGTGGTGCATATGCTAAATTACTCTTTACTCTCATCATTAAATTAGTCTATAAGACATGTATTATATGCCGTATTTTTAAATTATGAAACGTTTAAAACACGTTCGTATCTTTATGCATTTCACGAACGTATGAAACATATATTTAGCCGTATTTTATATAATTGTATCGTATTATACACGAACGTACGTATTATTGTATTATTCACGAACCATATATTACTAACAAAGCTGTCCTCCGAAAATAAAAGGTAGTTGTAGACTTGTAGTCGGAGACTGGGAGTTATCTTCATTCACTTCAGTTTTGTTCGCATTAATTGAAGATTTCCAATCAGTAGTATATGCTCGAAGCTATTTGCAAAAAAAAAAAAGTCTTGCCCAGGGACGGAGCCATGCCTAGGGATAGGGGGCCTTGGCACCCCCAATATTTTATTTATTTGTAGGGAAAAGTACGGAAAAGGTATTTGTGATTGAGTCCGTTTTCAGATAGGGTCATGTGTTTTATTCTTTATCAAAGTAGTTCATGTGTTTGAATTCCGTTATCACAAGAGGGCCACGCCGTTAAAAACGTCTGGAAAAGACCGTTAAAAATAACTCCAATTTTCAAAAGTGCTCGGAAAATTAAAAGAAAAATACCGAAAAGTGCGTCTCGTCAAGATGACCTCCAAACTACCTCCGCCTTTTGATTTTTCAGATATGTTTGAATTATTTTTGAAAAATAATTTCGCTAATATCACTTTTCTGATGGACTTTCCGGTGACAAGGGTGGCTGAAAATAAAAAAGATAGATGGCCTAGCGGTCATCTTATTGAGGCGCACCTTCCAGTATTTTTCTTTTAGTTTTTCAGGCACTTTTGAAAATCGGAGTTAGTTGTAACGGTCTTTTTCAGACGTTTTTAACGGCGTGACCCTCTTGTGATAACGGAATTCAAACACATGAATCACTTTGATAAAGAATGAAACACATGACCCTATCTGAAAACGGACTCAACCACAAGTACCTTTTCCGTACTTTTCCCTTATTTGTATTCTAAATGGCCACAAAACTGAGAAAAGCCGAGCAGTGAATTCTTTTTTCCCCCACCGAATACCAGCTAACAGGATGATGGCATCTAGCATTCTAGCGTCATTTAACATTGCTGGGAATGGAGTTTAATGATCGGAGTACTACGTACTCCGTATAATAATAGGTTGAATTATTAGTAGGGGTGTCATGACTCATGGGGCATATAATACAATAATTATGAAATAATTACATATTTATGACTAAAATAATTTGTTAATTTCTGTTAATTTTGGTACGTAGTATTAATTAATACTTTAATTATGAAATAATTACATATTTTTTACTAAATAATTACATAATACATTGTAATAACTACTAATCATA